GCCACGCCACGCCACGCCACGCCACGCCACGCCACGCCACGCCACGCCACGCCACGCCACGCCACGCCACGCCACGCCACGCCACGCCAATTTGGTTTTGTTTTTGCTTTTGTAGCTCTGTAGACGTTCAGTTGGACGTAGGGAAATGTGTGAAAGTTAACGTGAAGATTGCAGATGCCCTGGGAGCGCTGGAACTAGGCAAACTAGATCAGGAGTACATCAAAGACCCCGATCTTCGTGAACTGCTAGACAAGGCAGCTTTGGATGTGAAGAGAATGGAAAGCCTTGAAGACCAGAAACTGCGCCTTATATATTCCGTGATTTACAGCGAGAAATTTGTACTGAAGGGCAAACGGGAACACGAGGTATTTATGTCAGTAGTGAACTGTGAATATCAGTGCTTTGATGAATGAATTTGTTCATCGTCAGAGAGGTTAGATCTGTTCTCTTGAACTTATAGTGGACTCACGTGCACTCTAATCTTCTTGATAGCTTCCTGGTTAACCTGCAGGCAAAACATTAGCGAATCAATAATGTTGCAATTGCCTGACGAGCGTAGTCATTCTTGGCCGTACGACACAGAGTTGTAGCAATAAAGCGATGAGTAACATCTGAAGCCTGGGTCTGAATCAACAAAATTATACATTATTACACACTGATATTATACAACATGTTTTTAATAAATATGCCGTTTTCAAAATGTTTTACGTCCACACTAAATCGAAAAACGGGCGTTTTCAAATTCCTCCGGTTTGGAAAGCGTTTTCGAAAAGCTCAGTTTTGGTGACGGATTAGTGTGGACGGTAGAAATAACCTAACCGTAGAAATAAAGCTGCGTTTTCAAACTTCTCCAGTGTGGCCTAAAACGCAAAGTCAGCGTTTTCAGTTACTCCGGTTTGAAGAACGTTTTCGAAAAGTTCCATTTTCGGTGGACAATTTCTCATGATTCGTGTAGACAGTAGGCCATACCGAAGAAATATATAGAGCTGCTTTTTTAAAATTTCTCCTGGCGTATCTGCCTCTTTGGTATACGATAAATGTCAAGATTATTGCATCTTGTCTTCCTTGTTTTTAAGGTTCAAGCGGATGCTGGCATCGAGGCTCCTGTCCCTGAGGTTCTTGACTGGCTGGCAAAACAAGTTCAGGTTGGAGCCCACTATAGTAAGAAGATCATTCCTTCAAAAGTGGCAGCGAGACACTCTCGGGGCCCAATTTTCTTCAAGTTTGTTCGTGTGGATTACGATAAAGTTCAAGGGCGGTTAAAACTTTCCAAAGGAGCGTTTGCAGGGCATGAAGTTAAGTCAGGCGACAGAGATACAGGAGAAGAGAAAGAAAACACTGAAGAGTACGCTGAATCTGTGGTCGGCTCAGGGAAAGAAGAGAGTTACTTGGCAGGCAAGGAGAATGGCCAGTTATTTATCGTTTATGATAACTTTTATCCCATAGAACTTTTAAAAAGCGCATTGGAGATGGTAGATTTATGTCAATTTAATTTATCACTCGTCAGGTTGTTTCAATGCAAAAATACGTTGAATTACATCCACGTTTCCAGCTATAGACCCTTTTCACAAATGGCTGACAATTTAAAATCCTTTTGTATGCATTCAAATTAGCCTCACTGACCTCGTTTGGGAGTAAAAATTCTTTTGAATTATCAACTCAAAAAATGAGGTTTGTACTGCTAAACTAATAAATACTTACCAAAGATTATCAGCGGTTTGACATACAAACGAAGCGAAAGGGTCAATGCTGCTTTGTACTCACCCTTTCGCCTCGTTTCCATGCCTTTTTAGACAAAAGAATATTTGACCGCAGACTCAACTACAATAACAGCTATTCGATCGTCAGTCCTTTGCTCTGAAGAAGGTTTTGGTTATTTTTTTATGTGTGTATGTAAATGGAATAACAGGACACGACCTCTAGAGAGCAACATCTCTAGTACTCGCCCCCAAGTTTCTCCCCCCTCCCCCTTCGATAAATTATCTCATTCTCGAATGGTAGTACCCATTTTGTTACACAGCTACTGTTTGAGGGCGTACGGTACATTATGATATTGCAATGACAATAGTAAACTAACCTTTCCATCATATCAACTTTGTTGGAACAAAAAAAGTTACTAGAAAGCTAGGGAGATTCTTCACAGTTGTTTAAAAAAATCATCATTATTAAATAACTCATGTTTATTTACAATATATTAGAATCTTTGACAGATGATGATATAAAGAAACTTGAGATTATCAAGGGTTCAGTGTTGAAGTCTGCGGAGAGCAGGAAAAAACGCAAAGAGAGAGTGAAAAAGTATCTCAGCTGGGTGAGTATGTATTATCAATTAGGACTTGCGCACTACGTGGAATAATGAAGTAACACATCAAACGCGAAAGACCGTGTTTCACCATATTTTCAGACACCGAGAAGAGAGTATTTTTGACGAGGCTCGAGGTGTTTGGAAAGCTTTCAAGTTTTCTTATGATACCCTTATGTGTGACCACATTCAGTTGAAAGCTATTGAATAAACCCTTGTATGTGTCCGCCATTCAAATAAAAGCTAGTGAGTAGCTCTTTCATGTGGCACTGTTTATAGTGCTGCAAAAGGTGGTTCTATCGCTCAAGTCTATGGAAGAATCCCTAACGCGTGACCATTCCTTTAAAATCTACTGAGCCGCGAGTATTTTCGGAAGTCTGGCTTTTTTCCTCTAAACTTTTCAAAATGGATGCTGGGACGTCTTTAACATTTACAATCCTTGTGTGTTACTGGTAGTGCAAACATTGACATCGATTCCTTTCTCACGTCTAAACAGTTTGAAGAAGCACTGATTACAGACAAGAAGAAACTGTCTCTTGTTGAACCTCTTACTAATGAAGACCGCAAGTTTCTTCAAAGCATTTTCAGTCCTGTCCTCGACCAATCCACTGTTAATCTGTCCAAATTTGACACGGAAAAGATTCAAGGATATGCAATAGTTCTTAAACAAATTGATGGTGAGATTTTGCCTTCATTTTGTCCTATAATTATGTATAATTATAAAACGTTCCCTGGGATTTTCCTTTGTGAAAGCCAGTGGCGGATCCAGACCTTGGGCTAA